CTGTTCAGGTCTATATATCCACGTGTCGCTTTATAGGTCTGTTCAGGTCTATATATCCACCTATCGCTTTATAGGTCTGTTCAGGTCTATATATCCACGTATCGCTTTATAGGTCTGTTCAGGTCTATATATCCACCTATCGCTTTATAGGTCTGTTCAGGTCTATATATCCACGTATCGCTTTATAGGTCCGTTCAGGTCTATATATCCACGTATCGCTTTATAGGTCTATTCAGGTCTATATATCCACGTATCGCTTTATAGGTCTGTTCAGGTCTATATATCCACGTATCGCTTTATAGGTCTGTTCAGGTCTATATATCCACCTATCGCTTTATAGGTCTGTTCAGGTCTATATATCCACGTATCGCTTTATAGGTCTGTTCAGGTCTATATATCCACCTATCGCTTTATAGGTCCGTTCAGGTCTATATATCCACGTATCGCTTTATAGGTCTATTCAGGTCTATATATCCACGTATCGCTTTATAGGTCTGTTCAGGTCTATATATCCACGTGTCACTTTAATGGTCTGTTCAGGTCTATATATTTATATATAAATATATACATGTTGATGCTGGAATAAAGCCCGGTCGACTAGAAAGTCCTAGGTGTGCAGCGGCAGTATTGGGTACAAATCCACATTTAGGCTCTTTCCAAAGCGGGGAAGGACATAGTCAAAAGGTTCTCATCACATGATGGTTGGACGTTGGATTGGAAAAGGTAAATGTAAAATCCCTTTATTGAACAATGACAGCCACCATTAAATGCAGAGCAAGGCCGAGCAACCTGAGTCTATTTGTCTGTCTTTCATTATGGGAGCAATACGATACAGACCAAATAGAAAAAGTACAACTGCAGCAGGAGGTGCGGATTTAGAAGAAGGTAAATGTTCAAAATGGAGATAAATAAACAAATAATGATTTTTTTTATCCTTATCTAAAATGTTTTTAAAAATGTTTTCTTTGTTTCTCGCGTTCTGTTTTAAACATTGTATAATAGTACACTGACCGGCACACATGAGACATTGATAAATTATCAGCTAAAATAAACATCCGCAATAACATTGGACCTTAATTCTGCATTTACCAGCTGCGACCCAGCCCACGGCTCGATTGTTTAGAAAAAGAAAATCGCCATTTCCTATCGTGTTCCAAGCGTCAGCGCCATTTATCCACTGACCCATCAAGGCAGGTTACATTTCACCCCAGTGTTTTCCTGACCCCGTAGTCTGAAGAGTAATGGTTCCATCCAGCCGCTTTATCCATCAGAGTAAAATCACATTATGGCTGGAGATCTGAACAGATTTCACAAATGATAGCAAACACGCGGCAGGTTTTAGCTTTAGATATATATACTGGGACAGGGAAATTACTTGTGTGAGCGAGAGACAAAAAGATAGAAACCGTGTCAGGATGATAAATAAACTCTGGAGTCGACTAATGGATTTTGCAGTCAATCCAAGAAAAAACCTGTTATGTCTGTATATACTGATCAGCAGTGCACCGGCTGTGACCTGTGATTCTAACACGAGCTAATAACACGGACATGTGTAATGGGTTAAAGGGACATAATGGCAGGGACATGTTTAATGGGTTAAAGGGACCTAATGGCAGGGACATGTTTAATGGGTTAAAGAGACAGTCCCATGTAGGAGCAAAGTGACCTAATGACAGGGACATGTTTAATGGGTTAAAGGGACAGTCCCATGTAGGAGCAAAGTGACCTAATGACAGCGACATGTTTAATGGGTTAAAGGGACAGTCCCATGTAGGAGCAAAGTCACCTAATGACAGTGGCATGTTGAATGGGTTAAAGGGACAGTCCCATGTAGGAGCAAAGTGACCTAATGGCAGTGACATGTTTAATGGGTTAAAGGGACAGTCCCATGTAGGAGCAAAGTGACCTAATGGCAGTGACATGTTTAATGGGTTAAAGGGACAGTCCCATGTAGGAGCAAAGTGACTGAATGACAGCGACGTGTTTAATGGGTTAAAGGGACAGTCCCATGTAGGAGCAAAGTGACCGAATGACAGTGACGTGTTTAATGGGTTAAAGAGACAGTCCCATGTAGGAGCAAAGTGACCTAATGACAGTGACATGTTTAATGGGTTAAAGGGACAGTTCCATGTAGGAACAAAGTGACCTAATGACAGTGACATGTTTGTGGCGAAACCAACCTCGCCACTATGCACTGGAGAAGCCTGGTTGCCAGCCTCCTGCCATCTGACTATGGCCCCCTTGTGAATTCGTACTTTTGTATGCAATATTTGGGCATGTGACATTCTTATATTGCTGCTACTGGCCCTTTAAGGGCCATCCGTGAACATATTCTGCCTGTTAGGAATAATGCCTTTTTAAGACTGTGTAGCAAATTGCATTCAGGCTGTATTTAATATTATGTGTTCGGTATAAAGTGTTATGTGAATGCAGCATTCCCCTGATTGTTCGGTAGAATCACTTCATTCATTATATTGGGTGAAACTACCGAACAACCAGACCACCCGGGAGTAAGTGTGCCTCCAATTACCGTTTGCAACAATGTTGCAAACGGGTAATTGGCAATATGTGTAATGTGTGTTGTGTCCTCTGGGTGGCCGCCATTCGGGAAACGAACACGTGGCGGCGGCCATCTTAAACTCCCGAACAGCGGTGTTTTGCCGTCGAGTGTCTGGAACTAAAATCGGACACTTGACTAAGCAAACACCGCTGAGACCTCCAGACTTCCAGCAATTCGTGCAGAAACTACCGAACGGCCCGCCGTTCGGTAGAAAGGATCCCACGAACAGGGGGATTCATACGAATCCTCCCCAAGCTCTATAACCCAGGCAATTCGTGTGATTCATTCCCTTTTCTGTGACCGTCTGCAGGGCCAAAGTACATGGAACTATTTTCGGATACTTTTGCCATGCAGTCGGTCAAAACTTTAACCCTTTATAATTCCTGAACCCCTGGTCCGATCTGGGTGATTTTTGGATATGTGTCTCACCCAGATCAGGGTTACCAGGGGATGTAACATTTAAAGGGGTATTCCTATGTTTAGGGGTACATCCAGTATCCCAGGGAATTTGTGTCTGTACTAATGGGATTATGTGTCACACTAAGGGGAGGAGATGTGTGGGAGGTAACTGGTACATTATTGGCTGGGGTACTAATTGTTGTGGATCCCTCCCTTGCATGGGAGAATGTCTTAAAAGGAGGCTGTGTGAATAAATCCTTAGATTCTGCTTAACCCTCAAAACGAAGTGTCGTCTCGTTATTGGGGGAATTGGATTGTGTGCTGACTGCCAGGAGTGTAAGCCGTTCGTATTGCTTTTCCTGTTCGGCTGCTTCCAGAGTTCGTGTATTTCTTGTTCGTGAGTTGGGGATTCGTACAGTTTGGAGTTCGGGAGGTTGGTGATTGCAATAGCTGCTGGTCTATGGGAAAGGGGATTATCGCCTAAATGGTTTTTATCCCCTTGTGAGCGAAACGGTCCGTTACAATGTTTAATGGGTTAAAGAGACAGTCCCATGTAGGAGCAAAGCGACCTAATGACAGTGACATGTTTAATGGGTTAAAGGGACAGTCCCATGTAGGAACAAAGTGACCTAATGACAGCGACATGTTTAATGGGTTAAAGGTACAGTCCCATGTAGGAGCAAAGTGACCTATGACAGCGACATGTTTAATGGGTTAAAGGGACAGTCCCACGTAGGAGCAAAGTGACCTAATGACAGCGACATGTTTAATGGGTTAAAGGGACAGTCCCATGTAGGAGCACAGTGAGCTAATGACAGCGACATGTTTAATGGGTTAAAGGGACAGTCCCACGTAGGAACATTTGTGAAAGTCTAAGCGATCACTCGTTTGAGGCATGTTCCATCTTTATAATGTCCACCTATTTGTCCCACTTTCTTGCTCTGCTGACCCATCTTTCTAGTATGTTGGCTGTGTATTAATGTGTTATAGTAGTGAGCTGTGTGTTTATTTTAAGAAAATCAGTTTGTGTAGATAAAATTATTAAAAAATTAATCAGAAGATTAATAAAAATATCCTGGATTGATTTGTTCCAGGGTGAAGGGGATATTGGGCAGTTGCCTTGGCTCCATTCACCGTCCTAATTTAAAGAATAAAGTGGAGATCATGTAACAGACGTGGGTTGCTATAGGAGAGAAGTGGGGAGATCATTGAGAATTTGAAAGAAACAACAATTATTCCACAGTGATTGCTTCGAATTCCGATTTTTCATGTTTACCAGTCTCAGGAAATCTATATACAATAAATCCTTGGAATCCATGAAAAGTTTTTAAAGAAAAAAATAGGAAACTGTTTATTTTTGCCTATTATAAATGGTATCTGTCACGATTGGTAGGGAACCCAACACACAGACAGGACACAACAGACAGAATTGCAATACCGGTCCTTAGAATGACCGGCTATGCAAAAGAATAGTCAAAGTAAGCCAAGGTCAAAGGGAAATATAGTGACGGAATATGAAGAGACAAGCCGAGGTCAAAGGGAAATAGAGAGACGGAATACGAAGAGACAGGTCGAGGTCAAAGGGAAATATAGTGACGGAATATGAAGAGACAGGCCGAGGTCAAAGGGAAATATAGTGACGGAATATGAAGAGACAGGCCGAGGTCAAAGGGAAATATAGTGACGGAATATGAAGAGACAAGCCGAGGTCAAAGGGAAATAGAGAGAAAGAATACGAAGAGACAGGCCGAGGTCAAAGGGAAATAGAGAGATGGAATACGAAGAGACAGGCCGAGGTCAAAGGGAAATATAGTGACGGAATATGAAGAGACAAGCCGAGGTCAAAGGGAAATAGAGAGACGGAATACGAAGAGACAAGCCGAGGTCAAAGGGAAATAGAGAGATGGAATACGAAGAGACAGGCCGAGGTCAAAGGGAAATATAGTGACGGAATATGAAGAGACAAGCCGAGGTCAAAGGAAATAGGAGAGACAGAATACCGAAGAGATAGCCGAGGTCAAAGGGAAATATAGTGACGAATATGAAGAGACAAGTCGGCCTTCCTTCAAAGGGAAATAGATATCGAATACGAAGAGACAGTACGAGGTCAAAGGGAAATATAGTGACGAATATGCGCTATATCAAAGCCGAGGTCAGCGAAATAGGAGAGACGGAATCAAGAGACGTTTCGAGGTCAAAGGAAATAGAGAGATGGAATACTCTAAGAGCAGGCCGAGGTCAAAGTGGAAATATAGTGACGGAATATGAAGAGACGTCGAGAACAAAGGAAATAGAGAGATGGAATACAAATATATTGAAAATGCAGGCCGGAAATATAGTGACGGAATATGAAGAGACAAGCCGAGGTCAAAGGGAAATATAGTGACGGAATATGAAGAGACAAGCCGAGGTCAAAGGGAAATATAGTGACAGAATTCGAAGAGACAGGCCGAGGTCAAAGGGAAATAGAGTGACGGAATACGAAGAGACAGGCCGAGGTCAAAGGGAAATATAGTGACGGAATATGAAGAGACAAGCCGAGGTCAAAGGGAAATAGAGAGACGGAATCAAAGGAGACAGCAGAGGTCAAAGGGAAATATAGTGACAGAATCAAGACAGGCCGAGGTCAAAGTGTTTTAGAGAGACGGAATAGACGAAGAGACAGGCCGGTCAAAGGAAATATAGTGATCGAATATGAAGAGACGTCAAAGGGAAATATAGTGACAGAATTCGAAGAGACAGGCCGAGGTCAAAGGGAAATAGAGAGACGGAATACGAAGAGACAGGCCGAGGTCAAAGGGAAATATAGTGACGGAATATGAAGAGACAAGCCGAGGTCAAAGGGAAATAGAGAGACGGAATACGAAGAGACAGGTCGAGGTCAAAGGGAAATATAGTGATGGAATTCGAAGAGACAGGCCGAGGTCAAAGGGAAATATAGTGACGGAATATGAAGAGACAAGCCGAGGTCAAAGGGAAATAGAGAGACGGAATACGAAGAGACAGGCCGAGGTCAAAGGGAAATAGAGAGACGGAATACAAAGAGACAGGCCGAGGTCAAAGGGAAATAGAGAGACGGAATACGAAGAGAGAGGCCGAGGTCAAAGGGAAATAGAGTGACGGAATACGAAGAGACATGCCAAGGTCAAAGGAAAATAGAGAGACGGAATATGAAGAGACAAGCCGAAGTCAAAGGGAAATATAGTGACGGAATACGAAGAGACAGGCCGAGGTCAAAGGGAAATAGAGAGAGGGAATACGAAGAAACAAGCCGAGGTCAAAGGGAAATAGGGAGACGGAATACGAAGAGACAAGCCGAGGTCAAAGGGAAATAGAGAGACGGAATTCGAAGAGACAGGCCGATGTCAAAGGGAAATAGAGAGATGGAATTTGAAGAGACAAGCCGAGGTCAAAGGGAAATAAAGTGACGAAATACTAAGAGACAGGCCGAAGTCAAAGGGAAATAGAGTGATGGAATTCGAAGAGACAAGCCGAGGTCAAAGGGAAATAGAGTGACGAAATACGAAGAGACAGGCCAAGGTCAAAGGGAAATAGAGAGACGGAATATGAAGAGACAAGCCGAAGTCAAAGGGAAATAGAGAGACGGAATTCGAAGAGACAAGCCGAGGTCAGGGAGCAGAGAAGACAGAGTAAATGCAAAACAAGCCAAAGTTCAGTAACCAATTCATCAGAGAGAGCATAACGCGCAGTTGGGCTAAACAAAGACCACAACAGGGCACTGAGGCAAGGGGGAGGTTAGCTTATATACACACAGAGTGTGTCTGATTGGCTAACATCCAATTAGTGTTAACCACAACACGTGGGAGGTGTTTCTTCCTTCCCTTGTGGTCTCTGAGGTCATCACTGTGTGCCTGGCCACAGTGGCGTACACATGACCCATGGGGCCCCGGTGCAAAAATTGATCCGTGGGCCCCCCTCCCCCCCCCCGCGCTTCTCGGCGCGGGTCGGGGTCGCAACACAAGGTGGCGGGCACCTGGTTGCAGGGCTGCGACCCCGCGACCGTGGTATGCACACACACTTAAAGGACCACTACAGACACCCAGATCACATCAGCTCAATGAAGTGGTCTGGGTGCCAGGTCCCTCTAGTTTTAACCCTGCAGCTGAAAACATGTTTCACTGAGGGTTAATCCTCTGGTGGCTGTCTCATTGAAAATCACAGTGAGAAGACAGTGAACGTCCATAGGAAAGCATTGAGTAATGCTTTCCTATGGGTGCTTTAAATGCGCGAGCGCGCCTCTTGCCGCGCATGTGCATTTCGGAGCTGAGTGGCGGACACTGGGGAGTCCGACGCTGGAGAAAGGTAAATGCTGAAGACACACACACACACTCTCACGAACAGACGCATACACACTAGCTAACAGACACACACATTTACTGACAGAGACACACTCAGCTACAGACATACATACACACTCACTTACAAAACATACACTTTCACTGACAAACACACACTCACTAACAGACATCAAACACACTTAGTAACAGACACACACAGTAACACACTCACTAGCAGACACACACCCAATAACAGACACATTCACTGACACACACACTAACACACGCACTAACACAAACAAACACACACACACTAACACACGCACTAACACAAACAAACACTGACACACTAACACACACACACACACTAACACATACACTAACACACACACACAAATACACTAACACACACATACACTGACACACATACACTCACACTAACACACATACACTCACACTAACACACACATACACTAACACACATACACTCACACTAACACACACATACACTAACACACACAAATACACTAACACACACTAACACACACACACACATTTTTTTTTTCAAATTTAATCCCCCCAGCCTCCTTACCTTTCGGAGTGCTGGGGGGGATTATTCCCTGGGGTCCAGTGGTGCTGCTGGGCGGGTGGCCGGTCGGTCGGGCAGGCGGGCGCGCGAGGGAGCACTCAGTGCTTCCTCTTCAGCTCCCTCGCGCGCCGCGTAGAGATGCCGGCGCCGGAAGATGACGTCAGTGCGGTGCGCGAGGGAGCTGAAGAGGAAGCACTGAGTGCTCCCTTGCGCGCCCGCCTGCCCGACCGACCGGCCACCCGGGTCAGCAGGGCCAGCCTCAGGGGGGCCCTGGGGTGGTCGGCTCCTGGGCCCCCCAGGGGAAGAGGCTGGCCCTGTGGCTACATACGCCACTGCCTGGCCACATGACCGGGTCTGGCACACATATAAGGATGCTGCTCTGGAGTGTACAGCGTCAGACACACTGCCAGTCTGAAGCACTGACAGCCGCACACTACGGACCAGATGGCACCACTCGCGGTGACTGGGTAAGCAAGGTCACGGAGGCAGGGGACCTGACAGTATCTGTGTTTTATTATATTGAGCTTTAGATGAAAGTGTAACGGCACCCCGGGCATAAAAAGGGGTTAAAAGCCGTTTAGTAGATCTTCTCTTCCAGAGACACAGGCACAGCTACTGTAGACACCAATCCACCGAACCGGAGAAGCATATGAATGCCGTAAACAGCCGAACCGGAACAATACGAATGCTGCAAACAGCCGAATAGCAAAAAAAACATACGAATAGGTTTACACTCCTGGCAGTCAAATTGGAACAGCATACAATAAATCCCCCAAAGAACGAGACAAAGCTCCGTTTTGAGGGTCAAGCAGGAACAGACAGAGCTGTGGGTTTATTGTTCTTATATACACATTAGTACAACCCACAGGGTTTTGGAAAACCACCAATAAGCATGTACAATACACTCAGACACTCCTACACAAAAACCTCCCCTCTGCCTGTGATACAATTAACTTATACAATGGGTTAATGTAATTATCACAGCCAGAGAAATACATTTTTTCCACATTATTCATAACTTTAAAAGTATACATCACATAAAACTTACATTTTCATCAGAATCAGCATACTCCAAATACAAACATATTTCGAAATCCTACAGGAACAGGAACAAGCTCTTAGCAGAACTTAGTGATCATACCCTGGGGAGTATAGTGATTATAGCAATCCCCAGAGTGTATTTCTCCAATCCCCCGAGTGTATTTCTCCAATCCCCCAAACATGAGCCAAGGCTTAATGCT